TGTGTGTGTGTGTGTGTGTGTGTGTGTGTGTGTGTGAAATTCCACCTAATTTCTATCTAACCTTTTCCACCAACTTGCCCACATTGAGTAGCCACTCCTTACAAATACTATATTGTAGTGGCAGGATAGTGGATTAGGTAGTTGATGCAGTAGCATCATCTCTAAGCATATAATTTGATGTCCTTCTGGTGAAGTTAAAACAAATGTCCGTTGCCTCATGTTAAGTTCTCAATTTAAAATGTGTGGTTACACCCATTATTGTATGAAATGTAGTTGTAGCCATGTCAGTCCCAGGATATTAGACAGATAAGGTGGGTGAGGTAATATCTTTTAGCTGTGATGCTCGGAATACCTTTCCCAGACCTGAAGAAGAGGTCTGTGTGGCTCAAAAGCTTGTCTTTCTCACCAACAGAAGTTGGTGCAATAAAAGATATTACTTCCCCCACCTTGTCTCTCTGGTTATACCCATTTCAGCCCTCAACAAATCCTTGAACTGTAGCTAGCGCTTTGTGAGTAAAACTAGAACCAGCGTTTCTTCTCCAAATATGAAATTTGTCATTTTAATTTGAGGTCAAATTAATCCTTAAAGATTCAAAAAGCAGAAGGTAAATAAAAAAGAATCTCAAATTAATAAGGCTTAATCATGGTATTTAAAAGAAATCTCTTCAGGTTTTTTGGTGCCTGACTCCATATTTTTGAACACTTGAGGCTGGCAATTCTGCCCCTCTTAGCTCTCTTGATTTGCCTTGCACCCTGTTGTGTACCTTTATAATCTGAGAGTTTGCCTCTGCACTGTTAAACTTCCATAGAGGAAAGCAACAATGTTCTGCTGGGAAGATCTGGTTGCCTGAGCACTGATTGCTTCTGCACTATATATGCTCAGAGCAGCACTATGTCAGAAAATGAAGGCAGAAGCTGGAAACAAAGAAATACAATTTTAAAACTCTGCATGTCATACTTTCTCCCCCCCTTCCCCCCCCCCCCCCAAATGTGTGTGGGAGGAGGGGTTATTTCCAAACCCTAATTAAATGTAGAGAATGTTATTGGGGTAAGAGTTGTACACACCTGTTTAGAGAGAAGTAGATGTTAAAACTCTTACCATATACTATTTTCAACAGTCACATGTATTATCCCTTTTAACAGTATATTTACAAATATCACAATTATAATTTATCTTGTTTTATTATAAATGTTAAAAAGTATCATGGAGGAAAACCGTATAACTGGTAATGCTGAAGTAATACAGTGTATGAAGTGTGCTTGTGTTATGAAATGATTACATTGTAACAGTGTTTTTCTTTCTGTCTCTTTTTCTTTTAGGACCGGAATAGGCCCTATGACACTTTTAACTTGCACTCTTTGGAAAATTCCTTAATGGATATGATAAGGACTGATCATGAGCCTCTGAAAGGTAAACACTACCCTCCCAGTGGCCCACCAATGAGTTTCGCAGATATAATGTGGAGGAATCATTTTACAGGTTAGGAATATTCATATGTCCATGCTTGCTTGGTGTTTAAACACAAAAAATCAACTTTTCAATAATTGCTATACATTTTCTGCTAGTAAAGCAAGTGGTGAATATTTAAAGCTGCTATTTGCCCATCTAAAAAATATGACTTAATAATCTCAAATGACCAAGGCTAAATGTGTATGAATGTAGTATGCCATATGTGCAAGATGATGAATTCCAATGTTATCTAAGCTTTAGTTTTAGAGGCTTGTTTCAGTTTTCAATCTTAAAAAATTGCTCAGTAAGGTTTTCAACTTCAGTCTTCTATTTCAGAAAACAAGCAATTAACAAGAGTCCAGTTCAATTTTTAATTTTGTGAAAAATTTTTTAAAGTAATAGACCATTGTGCATGAATCACTAAGTTAGAAGATGGCTATCTAAAATATTCCCTTTATCATGGATATTAAAACAGAATTTAAAGAATATCTTTTACACACACACACACACACACACACACACACACACACGTATCGTAGCAACTGTAGTAATATTTGTGTGATCAGGTGTGAGATCCAAGTTTGACAGCTGGTATTGTGATCTCCAGACTGGCATTGTTGTGAAAGCACTATGCTCAGCAATAGAGGTTTTTTATGTCTCTCACCTACCCAGACAGTTGAGTGATAGTGCTGACAAGCTCCAAAGTATGATGGCTGTGACACAGGACTGCATGTGTAGTGGCAGAAAACTGAAGGAATGGAACTTTGAGTAAAGAGAACTCAGTGGAGGGAAAAAAGATTAAAGAGGTGTATCAAAAGGAAAATTTCTTGCTAGTGTGATTTATACACAGTAGATTGTATACTTGTCTGATGCAAGAATTGAAATGGTCATGTGTACGGTACTCAATCAGGATGTGACATATAGGAACAGACTACTCGTCTATCAAGTAATCAAGTACAATATCCTGACTTGAGCAGTTGTTACTACCCAATACTTTCATTATCTCTGCATGTAGAACTACAATTGTTGTTGGTGCTAAAGTTGGGTGATAATTGCAATTAGCTCAATATTTGCTCACTCAAAGACTGTTACTACTTTCCATCCTCAAAGTAAAAATCCTTAGCAATTTTGAAACAAGGATGTGCAGCTATTCTCAAGTTTAACAAGTCCGCAAAGATTATAAAAAGATAGATGGATCTGTAGATTGATTTGCATGAATTAGTAAACAAAAAGTTCCCCAGACCATAGATATAGATAGTGTGTGTGTGTGTGTGTGTGTGTGTGTGTGTGTGTACCAGAATTAAAACCCAAATGGATGGATTGGAAGTAGTGTAACTTATTTGTTTGATGGATGCTGGGAAATATTGATGATTACTTCTGCTGCAGGAGCACATCTGTCCTTTCAACTGCCGGGGTACAGATTAAACTACTTCTGCCACTCAGCTAATGCCACATGAGTGAGTGGTCTGGGGAACTTTTTGTTTACTAATTCATGCAATTGTAGTTATACATGCAGAGATAATGAAAAGGGATCTAGAGGTCATAGTGGATCACAAGATAAATATGTGTCAACAGAGTAACATTGTTGCAAAAAAAGCAAACATCATTCTGGGATGTATTAGCAGGAGTGTTTTAAGCAAGACACAAGAAGTAATTCTTCCACTCTACTCCATGCTGATTAGCCTCAGCTGGAGTATCATTTCCAGTTCTGAACACCACATTTCAAGAAAGATGTGGACAAATTAGAGAGAGTCTACAGAAAAGCAACAAAAATGATTAAAGGTCTAGAAAACATGACCTATGAGGGAAGATTGAAAAAATAGGTTTGTTTAGTCTGGAGGAAAGAAGATGGAGGGGGAAGGAACATAACAGTTTTCAAGTACATAAAATGTTATAAGGAGGAAGGGAAAAAATTGTTCTAATCTCTGAAGATAGGACAAGAAGCAGTGGGCTTAAATTGCAGCAAGCGTGATTTACGTTGGACATTAGGAAAAATTTCCTAACTTTTAGGGTAGTTAGGCACTGGAATAAATTGCCTGGGGAGATTGTGGAATCTCCGTCATTGGAGATCTTTAAGACCAGGTTAGACAAACACCTGTCAGGGATGGTCTAGACCAGGGGTCGGCAACCTTTCAGAAGTGCTGTGCCGAGTCTTCATTTAATCACTCTAATTTAAGGTTTCCCGTGCCAGTGATACATTTTAATGTTTTTAGAAGGTCTCTTTCTATAAGTGTATAATATATAACTAAACTATTGTTGTATGTAAAATAAATAAGGTTTTTAAAATATTTAAGAAGTTTCATTTAAAATTAAATTTAAAATGTAGAGCCCCCCGGTCCAGTGCCCAGGACCCGGGCAGTGTGAGTACCACTGAAAATCAGCTTGCGTGCCGCCTTCGGCACGCGTGCCATAGGTTGCCTACCCCTGGTCTAGACAATACTCAGCCCTGCCATGAGTACAGGCGACTGAACTAGATGACTTCTCAAGGTCCCTTCCAGTCCTATGATTGTATTAGAGACACACACTGACACGCACACCAATAAATATTTGACGGCAGCAGGAACTAAATTTTTCCACTGTTATTGATCTAAGATCCAGGTATCCATGGTGAGACTGGTGAGTTGGTTTCTAAGTAAAACAGCTACAGTATGTGTAAAAAGCTAATAAATATATCTTTATGTGGAATACAAAAAAAGTTTCAGAACAGGCAAATCTGAATCAGCGGTCATGGATAACGTTTTGTGTTCTGTGCAAAGGGTAGTTGCCAAGTCATCAGCAAGGATGGAACATGTTCTCCTAACCAGTCAGATCTAGTAGGTGGAGTTTTTCACAGATGCTGCTATCCAGGGCCAGCATTGGTAGGAAATCCAGAAGAACTTTCAAACTGCAAACTGTCTGGATCTGTGGGGCCATCTGACTTTAGTCAAAGTGGGCCAGGCAGATAGTTCTTCAAAGTGTTTCCCTCTGCCCACAAACATAATCTGTCTTCCTAGGATTCAACTTCAGGCAGTTCTTCCTCTTCTGTAGATGCTGGAGTGTGTTCTGTCTTGTTCAAACAAGCTACTACAGATCATTTCATGGAGAGTAATACTCTCATAGTAAGTAACTGAAAGCTTCAGAGAGACTGACGGGTGGTTTAAGACTATACTCTCAGTAAGTGGGCATGTCTCATTTAGTTCACTAGGTAGAGCTACCACTCTAAAATCCAAACATTTCAAGTTTGTTTCAACTGAGATGGATCTCTCCCAAATTAGGGTATCTTGCATTTAAGAAGATTACCTTTTTAGTTAATGAATTGCTCACCCTTGGTAAAGTAGGCTAATTTGCCTAAATTACTCTTGCTAGTATGCACTTGTATATCAATTGGCTTTATTAATCATACTAGTTTTAGTATTGTACAAGCTTTCAAACAGATGGGAGAGGTGAAAAGACAAATAGCAAAAGCACTGTTTTTGGAAAATAGAGGCAAGCATTAGCTCATTCTAGTAAAAAGTTTCACTCTGCCTTCCAAACTATACAAATCTTGGAAGTTTCAGAGCCAATATGACTATTTCAGAGAAAATGTCAGCCTGCCAGTGGGCAATGAACAAACTTTTCAGCAAATATTCAGACTTCTTTGAGATGTGTCATAACTATGAAGGGAAGGGTAACAGCTCTCTGTGTACAGAGA